TTTTGGCTGATGCCTACCAACAAACTATGGTCTCTTTATTTCCCACCTTAATGTTTACATAGGCTGTAGAGTATGTTTGGACATGGTCTTGGACACACCTACATGTAACCTTAGCCTGGTCTTCACGATTTACTTTCCTAGCCGCAACTAAATCAGTATGAACAAGTGTCATGTCACATCCAAAATCTAACAAAATTTCACTATCACAACCCTCCACTATGCCTCTACAATGGTAGAGGCCTAGTACCCTTATCAGTTTTTGCCTGATTATATCTGCTATCAGTATTTCGAGGCTGGAACCTCTTGTCAAATTTTACACCTTTTTTAACCTGAAAATAATTATCTGCCAGTTCTGCAGCATCTCCTGGTTTACCCACTTGGTAAATAAATCCTTTAACTTTACATACATATCTCTATAACTTTCCTCAGTTTTCTTTCTAATAGCCCTAAACCTTTGTCTATATGGCTATCTATAATTTGCCTTAGCAGCTCCTGCTGCTGTTGGTGCATGTTGTGCAGTTGCTGTTGCATTTGCTGTTCCATGTGCTGTTGCATAATTAACAGCACGTCCTTTGTAGACAAGTCACTACCTGGTTTAAGTCTACCAGGTGCCACTGTACAGTGTGTGCTGTATCTTGTTTCAAATGTTGCGACTGAACAGATTCTTCATCTCTGTCATGGTTGTCGTCGCCTTGATACTCCTTACCGGATCTTGTTGTTGATTGACCATCAGCCATAATTAAATATGGACGAGGGACTTTTTACTAGTAAATCTTGGTTACCGATACGTTCACAAGTCTACTGCTCCAAATATAAAGATTAGTCAATGTCCACTGCTTAAAACAAATTACAGACTACTTACTGTACTTCAATTGTATAAAATTTACAGTTCGTTGAACAAAACGATTTAAATCCTTAGTTACAGTAGGACACGACCACAGCTGCTACTATATATGCAGTAGTGCGACAGGACCTGCCTGACGGAGGGGCTAAAGGAGCCGAGGGGGGGGGGGTGTGGGCTAGTGGAGCAAATCGAGTCTCACTCAGCTGGGGCCAGGGGGCCCCCCCGTTCGGTGTCCAGGGGGCTTAGCCCCCCTGGAAGCCACATATATTTAATGAATTATGGTGAATTTTTATTACTTAGGCCTATTTGATAGGCATCGAATTACTATAATATGACTTCATGTAAGCTATAGTGCTTTCTAATGTTAAAATCAGTTTAAAAAACCAAAACATTTTGAATCTGATTTATTTTCAAATCCTCATTCTTGAAAGTGAAATTCTATATTTTGGAAATTTTGCATGAAATCTGTCAACCACGCTCTCATGGTCGAGGTTGCTTCACCTATCACGATGTATTTCAACCATCATAAGGCTATCTAAATGAGCATTTGTCATAACAGAACGCAAATTATTTTTAATTAGTCTCATTGAATTATTATTATTATTGTTATTGTTGTGATGAAAAGTTAACACAAAAAATATGGTGGCTAAACGAATATTACATGTAAATATTTTTTTTATTTGTTTGTTCCCCGACAAAATTTATCGTCTTCCCCGACGGGGGGCTATAGCCCCAGCCCCCCTCTGGCGCCACTGTATATACATGTATGTCATGCGGTAGAACAACCACCGCTGTCACCATAATATGTCATAAATTCCTACTTGACGTATTTCCGAGCGGTATAGAAATGATTAGGAATCCCTCTTTGATGTATATTAGTATTAGTATTAGTATTTAGATACGCTATTCATAGAAAACTATATCATAGCGTTTTACTGTATAAACTCCAACAAAAATCCGGTATCAAAATAACACAACATTCACATTAACATGTGTTTCACTTTTTGAGTGCAGTGAACATCTTGTCCAGGTAATGGGAATAGACACCTGATCCAAGGATGAAACAAGTACCCCCCCCCCCACGAGCGTGATGCCACGTGCCTAGTAATTATAATAAAGAACTAAATATACTAAAAATAATCAATTAAAATAGTTGATTGTTTTTTTTATTTGTGAAAATTCAAGCATGGGTCATGTTTTAGGGTTTACAGTCATACCTTCCGCAGGCTTCTTCTTAATCGCACTCCTTGCTGCTTTATACAGTTGTCTATAAATTTTTTAAAACATTTTTCGTTCATGTTATATTTTTTCTTGATTCATTCTTATTTAGTCATATTTTAACATACAAGTGTATACAGAAAGATTTAGTAAAACAAGCTCTCATAATCCTGAATGCTTTAATGAGGGCAGTATAGAGGCGGAAGAGTTGGTCCAAACGGCTGCCTATACAAAAAAGGTAGTCCAGTGGCAGATCCAGAATTTCAAAATAAAATGGCCCAGGGATGGATTTTGACCTGGAAATCTAAAACACCTCAGTCCCACCATGGTTGGGGCTGAGGTAAGAAAATTTATGATTTAACACCTAATGGTAATCTCAAACCCAAATTTGATGATAAATTTTCCCTTTGGTTCAGGGTGCTATTATAGAGCAAAGACCCAGATGGGCAGACAACTAAGGTCAGTGGCCCTGCAAATTTCCATACAAGAGCGTTACGCCACTGAGCATAGATAGCTCTTCTAGGTACTACATTTCGTAATGATGGTGGAAACCTCCGCCCCTGATTTGTGTGTTTTAAGGCTAATATAAACTGTGAAAATCTTTAAAATGATAACTGTATTACTGGCCTATACCAGTACCTCAATTCAATACCTTTAGTTTATGTACGTTTATTAGGTGACGATCTAAACGTACCACTGCAGCATCACAGTAGATACATAATGTAAATACAGACTCTGCCCTTTCCCTAATAAAATAAACGTAAAAATCACTGATACTATAGTTTGTTTCCCATGCAATACATAAATGTAAATTGTTCATACATATCCTTTTTAAATAATTATGGATATTCTCAATTGTAAAAATAAAATTTAGAATACTCACTTCATTTTCATCTCTGCCATGAATTTCTTGGCATAACTGTCGTTGACTTTGAATGAATATTGCAATATTAATGAAATTCATGATGAATTGGCATTTAACAAAATCAATCACACTTCTTCCATGACTGCTAATTATGTAATATTTATTTAATTGTAAATAACAGGAAACCAACCTACAGACGAATCTTCTCAAAGTTAGGATTTTAACGTCTTTGAAAATAAGGGTCTACATTTTGTTTACATTAATGCCCAATCAATGCTACCATCATTGATTGGGCATCACTCAAAAGTCCAACACAGCCGTATTGTCGGTAACAGAATCCTGGATTGATCCATCTATATCCGATAATGAAATACAAATTGATGGTTAAACTATGGTTGGGCATGATAGAAACAGAGTAGGCGGAGGCGTCTGTACATTTGTACGTGATGATATCGCTTTTCGTGAACGAAAGGATTTAGATCACTGCAGTATTGAAGCTGTTTGGTTTGAAATTATTTCCCCAAAATCAAAACCCATAGTCGTCGACACGATATATAGGCCTCCAAAATAGCATAACTTTGTCCACTACTTTGATGAGGTATTCACATGCATTAACAGCACTTTTGAGATCATTATTATGGGGGATATTAACATCGATTTGAGGAAGCAAAATCATTCTTTGTACAATGATTACACGAACACGTTGAAATCTAACAGCCTAAAAAATTTAATTAAAGACCCCACCAGAGTCACTCAGTCTTCTTCCACAACTATAGATCACATTCTCTGCAACTTCTCACACAATATCAGTCAATCTGGAGTACGGTAATCCACACTGGAATTAGTGACTACGCCATGATTTATTGCACACGGAAATCAACCAAAGTAAACTTCAATCAACACAAAATCATCAAGTTTCGATCGCTTAAAAAATATAACGCAAATTGGTACGTAAAGAAATTTGAAAAACGCTGATTGGTCAAGTGTGCTAAACTCCTGACGTTAACGTTTGCTGGAGAAATTTCAAAGAGTTGCTCCTGCCAATTATTGATAGTATCGCTACTTGTAAAATAATACGCATTGGTGAAAATAATCGGTCGGTAAAATGGCATTCATCAAATGACCTAGCATCATTCACTGAACACTCAAGCACAAAAGTCACAAATAAATATCAGTTTGACTGAATTTATTGGGATAATTAGATATCAAATTTAGTTACTTTCACTTCTCTCGCATGAACAGTTGAGATATGTTCCTCTATGTTATCAACATTTGTATTGCATAAGGCCCTCCCATGACAAGAGGAAGTAAGTGGCACTTTGATGGTTTGGAGTTCTTGGGTAAAGAATATTTTTGCAACAGCCGTCCAATGTTTTTAATATTGTTAGTATGTTGATATATGGCTTTTGTAGTTCACATACTGTACTTTTAAGATACTTTAAGAAAAATAAAAAACATTATTTTTTACGGTCAGTATATCCTGTACTTCATTTTCTGGTGGTTTTTTTCACTAGCGATTTTACAAATGACCATAACAAAATGAAGCAAGTATAGAAAATTGCAGTTTGCCAACAATTTATTCACAGTTCATAATAAAAAAAAAACTATATTTACATTTTAATTAATTAATTAAAATTGACAAATGTTAGAATGTTTGATATTGTAATTCATTTAATATCAAGTTTAAAAGGACATTATGTCGTACAGTATCAGTCAAATTTATGAACATAAATGCTTATAAAGTTGTAAATTGTATTAACAATATTACTTTATAACACAAATATTGTATACTAATTTTTTTATCACAAATAAAACCACAGCGATACTCAAAACATGTAAAATTAGACATTTTTCACATTAGACATGGTAAGACTATCCCCTGCCGGACACCATACCGGTATTTTCTGAGTCAAGGTTTTGGGGTTGGGATTTTGAATTTATGATAAAAATACCATTAATTGAATGTTAAAAACATATACAATAATTGAGTGTTTGTATGATTATAATTAAAAATATTATGAAATCCTCTCAACATTACAAATAATACATGTAAAATTAGACATTTGCCTATGGTAAAAAACTATTCCCCGCCGGACACCATCCCGGTATATCTGAGTCTAGGTTTCGGGGATGAAATTTTAAATTTATGATGTATACCATTAATTGAATATTAAATACTGTATGTACAATAATTGAGGATTTTTATGATTATAATTACAAACATTATGTAATCCTCTCAACATTACAAATAATACATGTAAAATTAGACATTTCCCTTTGGTAAAAAACTATTCCCGCTGGACACCATCCCGGTATTTCTGAGACTAGGTTTCGGGGTTGGGATTTTATATTAAGGATAGAATAATTTAGGTTATAAACTACCCTGCAATTACAGTTCACTAATAATTATCAATTAGATCAACTGAACCATCATTTACTGCGAACCTTTCCCAGAAAGCATGGCGATTGGCTGGCATAAATTTACAAAGCTTTGTTAGGATGTCATTCTTCTTCTTATCCTGAATTCTATGTGCTGTCTGAAGACGTGGAAATGTGACCTCGTGTCCACAACGCATGATTCTCTCCGCTATTTTCTTTTTTAAGAATTCTCCTGAACTATACTCAGTGTCGTCTATCGAGCTTTTCCAATACAACATTGTGGATCCCTTGTTGAACCTTACTTCTTGTACCTCACACAACAAGGGCTTATTTGTGTATTTCCCTTGGCTGACCCCATTTTCATACATAATAAAATCAGCTGGTGACATTGGCACAGCAGTAGACTTGCCACAAGTCTCAAATTTATGGATTTTTCGTAGTACATTAGCACATTTCGGAAAGCGCCACCAGCGTCAGTTTATGTTGAGAAACTTTTTTGATGAGAATTGGAGACTTGTAAAAGAGTGAGTCAAATCGAATGCAGACCGCTGGCCGTGACAAGCATGACGTAATTTTTAGGATGCCGTATTTTGCAATAGGGTGAATGTTATGACGGAAGGTCAACCAATCAAACGGTTCTCGTTTTGGTGCCACGATTGTAGAGAGAAGTTGGGACATGGTACCGTATGCAGGTGTGTGGAATATTGTGGTACATTGTTAATGGAGGAAAAGAAAACACCAACCAAAACGCTAAAAAAGTTGTGCGCAGAACAAAAAATTCTCTGGAATACAAGATCGAGTGCGTGGAAAAGCTGCAGTCTAGAAAGTATTTGGTTTGCAAACTGTCTTAGGTTCACGCGAGGCTCAGTATTTTAAAGACTAGAACATTTATCAGCCCACCACTAGGAAAAGCTGTCATGCTCTCGCAACTGCGACACAAAATTGAAGACAATGTATACCTGGATAAGCTATGGGAGTTGTCGCGGGTACGTTTACGTATTTTTAAAAACAAGTGAATGTCACCAAAAAAGAGGAGCAGTCCGTCTGTATTCCAAAGATCAAAGAGAAATTTGATTAGCGCGGCGAAACATGAATTAACCACCTACAGCTGGTGTAGTGGACGGGACGAGCTGGGCCTATGAGATTCGTCTCTAGATAAAATGATGATGGTACCAACGAGGCCAGAACTAATGTAAAAGTGCGTCAGTCTTTAAATTACTTATTAGAATTCTGTGTTGTGAGTGATTGTGAATGCACTTGTTATTGTACCTGCTTGATAAGTACTTGTACTTATTCTTCAGTTTTCAATCAGTTGATGGAATTATATTTTCCCAAATATTCACAAAAAGTCCCAGCCCTATTTTTATCTAGAGGAGGTACACTAATATTAACCATAGCCTATTGGCTAACCTATATTTGATTGCTATTAATAATTCAATTGTTTTGCAGGAATGGATATTCTGTGAATAGTCCAGCCGGATGATCCCCACTGACTTCAGTCAAGTTATGAAACTTGAAACACTTAGCATCTGATGGAGAAGCACAAATTCCTGTATACCAAACCCAGTGTCATTTCAATATTAATTGTACTGAAATATGCTTATGATAATGAACAATTAAATACAGTATGATCCTTCCTGTATTCTTTTGCATTGACGTTAAATTGACTGTTAATTAATATAGTAAATTGTTTGTTAATTAGTAAAAATTTTTTTTTTCCTGAAGCAGTTGATAATATATATGGTAAGACACTGAAAGATCAACAAATTAAGTTTGAAATGTAAAATCACTGTGGTTTGGATCATTTTTTGAGTGTTTCGTACAATGTATTTTAATCCAAATACATGAAACTAAATTGTTTTCTCATTACCTGCAATGTAGCCTCTTTATTTTTACAAATTAAACAGAATGATTATATTTATTGAAAAATAGATCTGATAGCTATGGAGATCAGAACAATTAAAAGAATTGCACATTTTCTCCTTTTTGTCTATTTGTTTTATTTATGGCCCAATAGAATGCTATAAATATTTATTTATGGCCCATTAGAATGCTATAAATATTGTTTGTAAATTTGGAGTTGCATATTACTCACTGTAACTTAGAAATAATACCAAAAAAAATTGGATACTAAGGGGTGAAATGTGTTGTGATTAATTTAGATTAAAATATAAATGTATTGAAAAACAAATGGATGTCATGTAATTAAATCAATTAGGCCTCCTTTTTGGCCAACATACTGTACAATGAACAATAAATTAAACCTTTCTCATTAAACAATAATTTCTTACTCAGCTTCACATCAAATGTTAATTAAAAACAAAAAAAATTAATATATTTATTCATTGTTTAAATTTCGGAAATACAGCTTTATGCAAAGGATGCAATTGTCAATAAATACGATGATATTCACCTATTCGCAGGGACGTATCCAGGGGGGGGGAACCGTGGGAGCCGCAGCTCCCCCCCCCCCCCTTTGTACACAGTGTTAAAATTTTAAAGCTTATTCTTGAGCCAATACAAATTCTTTTCTGGGATCACTCAAAATGAATACTTCTAAACATGTAAATATGCATCAGTACACGTTATACATAGGCATAATAGAACACATAGGCCTAAGCGTGAATAAAAAAAACCTTAAATCCATAAATCTCAGGCCAGGTCTTTTAAGATAGAAATGCGATACTGTGGTTCAATTTCGTTTTTATCCTTTTGCAAGTTTCTTTAAATGTTTGTTTAATAATACTACTACTAATAGTAGTAAAAATAATAACAATGATGATGATGACAATAGGAATAATTGATATTAACATTAATAACAATAAAAAGTGAAGAAAATTGTGCTAAATGCGAAAAAAGTTGTGATTTGTTTATCATAATATAGTATATATAGTTAAAGCTTAGTAAGCTATAATTAGGCCTAAGTTGTCCTGGATATTAAGTAGATCCCTGATTAAAGATCATGAGAAATTTGTTGGCGTTTCATTTTGACAATAATGGTAAACAATAATGGTAATGTGATGATGATGAATTTTACTATATAAAAGTGTCATTTCCGGCCATCTCGAGAGGTACTATTTTCTCACCTCAGCCCCAGCCATGGTGGGGCTGAGGACTTTGTGAAATCACGTTTTTGAAGTAGCCCTATGTAAAGTACATACTCAAAGACAATGTTTTTAAGCTTTTTTTTTTCTATGTTTTTTTCTATGGTATATCACACACACATTAATAAGATCTCTATGGTTGTCAAAAATCCCTGATAAAAGATCATGTTTGTTTAATAATACTACTACTAATAGTAATAATAATAATAAGAATGATGATGATGACGATAGTAATAATTGATGATAATATTAATGGCAATAAAAAGAGAAGAAAATTGTGTTAAATGCGAAAAAAAAGTTATGATTTGTTGATCATACTATATAGTATATATAGTTAAAGCTTAGTAAGCTATAATTAGGCTTAAGTTGACCTGGATATTAAGTAGATTCCTGATAAAAGATCATTAGAAATTTGTTGGCGTTTCATTTTGACTATAATGGTAATGTGATGATGATGAATTTACTATATAAATGTGTCATTTCCGGCCATCTCGAGAGGTAATATTTCCTCAAATTTTCTCACCTCAGCCCCAGCCATGGTGGGGCTGAGGTGGTTGTGAAATCACGTTTTTGGAGTAGGCCTATGTAAAGTACATACTCAAAGACAATGTTTTTAAGCTTTGTTTTCTATGGTATACACACACACATTAATAAGATCTCTATGGTTGTCAAAAATCCCTGATGAAAGATCATGAAATTTTTTTTTGGCGCTTCATTTTGGCTAATGGTGATGTGATGATGATGAATTTTATTGAAAGTGTCATTTCTAGCCATCTAGAGGTACTATTTCCTCAAATTTTCTCACCTCAGCCCCAGCCATGGTGGGGCTGAGGTGGGTGTCGACTCACAAAATGCCCTCCCCCTCCACCTTTTCAAAACAGATCTGTGCCCTTCCCTGGGTATGATATTAAACTCCATCGAGTCGGCTCCTGATGTATGTCTTAGTGATTGCTGTTTGTTCTGTCTCTTATACACATCTAGATGTGTATAAGAGACAGGATTTGCTAAGAAAATTATTACTGTATAAGATATTATTGGTCTGCTTAATAAAATTAAATGCTTAAAATGTCAATCTCAGCTTTAATTATACAATGTGAAAATGCGTATGTTATTGAATCGATATTGCTAACTGGGCCCGTCGGTTGCATCGACCCTTTGTCACTGGCCCTAGCATAACTGAGTTGTCTACCCTGACTAGCCTGGCAATTGTATAGAAACAAACATCGACAGAAATTATTTCAAACTTTCCGCTAATATAATTCGAAAGGTCACTCTTTCCCCAAACGGAAATTTCGCCGGAAATTGTCCATAGATACGATGATATTCACCCATTCGTCGTACGTAGCAAATTGAGGTTCCTAGATCTTAGCCAGTTTGAAAAATTAAATATTTATACAGTATTATTATTATTTAATGCTATATTAACTACAACAATTATGTTACTGTAAGTCAAAACTAATATGTAGGCCTATTTCAAATAGATGTCCTAATAGGCCTAAACCTGAATGTGCTGAACTCGGCGAGAAAGCTTGAGCTTGGCTGTATCATATTGATAATAATACTGTATTTATTAACTGGCGTGAAGTTGGTTACTTTCCATGCAGCACACTTCTGTTGTGAAGGTGCGTTTAAATATTACCTTCATGGTTGGACGGATTGTGATATGGGCCTAGGTATCCTCCCGGTGCACAAGCTGAGCTGACCTGCACCTGAACCTCCTTATCATTAGCTGGGCCGAGGGGAAGCATAATTAGCATATTTAATATATGCGACGGTAATTAGCCAATCGGAAATCAAAGTTGTTAAATACGTCAGGCACCACGAAATCCTCACTGTTTTCCCAGTCCCTAATCCCAGAAAAAGTATACTATGGAACGCCATGCAAATAAGTAATATGGAATGCCATTTGTGCCAAAATCGATTTATTCTTAAGCATTTCAACTGATTAAGACAAAGATAAGACAGTCTAGCACAGCAGATCCTTTTGCGTTGATAATTGATGTGAAGTCATCTTCGTCATACACATGTTTCCTTTCTCTCATGCACTTCTCTACTTGTGCAAGGAATGAGTCAGCTGACATAAACGTATGTCCTGGTTCGAGATAGCGGAAAATGATTTCTTGGGGCCCTTCCATTCTGTTCACTTCAGAAACCATCGCTGTGTAAAGTGTCCAGTTTTTATTTTGCGCGCTGTAATTATCCATGTAGAAAATAAATCTTTCCCTGTCTCTAAACATAGGAGTGTTAATGTACTTGGTGTAAGTACTTGCTACGTCCTCAGAGTTTCATCCAGCTGTGGCTTCTGTCCATATAACACCAATGATCGGATCACTGTTACAATTTTTTCCCCCTATCGGGGCAAAAGTCATATGAAACTGCACAAGGCGTCTTGTAAACACACAACTCTTGACATCAGGAATGCATGGCAACATGATAACCTTCTGCATGTCCACGTAGCAAACTGCCTCATTTTCTTCTCTTGGTCGTTCTTTCTCCAGCTGGCAACATATGCTCTGTCTTTATGATGTTCCCATCCTGAACATACTGTGCATTGTGTGTCACCCCCATGTCCTTCTCATATGTTCTTGTGTTTTTCAAATTCCAGGCAAGGCTCACATTCTTCTTCCCCTAGCTTTGCAAAGCCAATGTTTATTTCTGATAATAATTTCCGATATGTTTCCGCGTCCACAAACGTTATGTTTCTGCTTAAAGTCTTTGAACATGTCACATATCTTCAGTTCCGATGGAAGATACCGTCGTAGAGGTGCATGTGAACGACGGTAATGACTGACGGCTGGATGGTATGACAGAATGTGATTTTCAACTATTGTCTTTGAGTCGTCAGTCATTTTGTGTGCAGGGGCGTGTTTTCCTCTCATGTCCAAAGGTGTGGTTATATCGCCAGAATTTGATGAACCGAGTGTGGTTGTAAGCACTTTGTCATGTTTGTATCCCAATGTATGTAAAAAGAATACTTTACAGACAAACTGGTTCTTGCCATCACTATCAGGGGGAACATACTTCCTTGACTTTTTCGTGGACTGGTGTTTGGTGCCTGATTTTTTCTTTTCCTTGGCTCCAAGACACTAACATGCGAAAATATCCAGGCTCGCCTTCTGGAATAGTCTTGCTTCCAAAACTGGTTGTGGATGTCTTTGCGTTGCTCCTCTGGTATGCTACTTAAACAGTCTTTTGAACAAGAACACGATGGAAGCAGTTTGTATTTGGATGGAGCGTGATTACTGGTGTCATTCGATGTTTCATCGTCTCGGTGATTCTCTGGTAGACTGGCTTCAGTTTCAGTTGGTTGGCTGATTTCATCTATAGTGATGTCTGTAGATTCATTCACCTGATCACTATTACAATAAGTAGGAATAGAAATTAATCAATTTGAATAATTATATAAATAATTAGAATTTTAGGGTAGAACTAGTTTAACCTAATTATACTAATATTGTAGTCAAATTCCCATTACTATAAATAAATGTAACATTATTATTGTTTATACTAATTTTTTTTTTTGGCTTATTTTCTTAACAATATTTTAATACTGTAATAACAAATAAAACTGAATGAGTTACTGTACCAAAATTGGAGCTAATTAAAATATAATTAGTCTAAATTTAAAAAAATATATTTTAAAACAAATCCTTTGCTTATAAGTGATTAATTTAATATGTTTTAAAGAAATAATTTATTTTATATTACAAAGGAATATCAAAACACATCTCTTTCAACAATCTTGAAACACAGTAATTTGGTCACAACATAATTATGAAACCCTCTTTTAACTTTACAAATATTATACAGCATGGTATTATAGGAATTGATATGAACTTTAGTCTACTTTAATTTGTTTTACATAATTAACTTTGGAGTAGACTGGTGTCATTATAAGTTATTATGTAAATCATTTCCATACTATAATACTAACAAAATAAATTGCAATACTTGCATATTTTAAACAAATACAGAGAACAAAATAATGATCATTATAGCTGGAAAGAATTAACAGATTCCTTGTCTAGCAATTTTTATTCAAAATATGCATTTTAAATAAACAAATAGAACAAACTACAGTAATAATCTTTTTATTTCTGGATTAGGAGACATGTAGACTAGCAATGTTTATTCAAAATAAACACCTTGATTATAACATAAAACTATTTCTTATTGTTAACTGTTTCTTCTTATTAGAAAATTTACAAAATAATAGTAAGTTATCAATACTCTTTGTAGTACAGTAATTATCGTCAAATATGTTAAGTAATTTATTTTAACCTCCTTGGTAAAACCAGTGGAATCACAACAAATGTTACCTTGCTTGACATATTTCAATCATTAAAAAAAGAAAGTGTATTGCAAAATAAAATGTCTGCTATAACTTTTGTTTTTTCTGTTAGAGTTATGTGAAATATTTTGTTTGAATACTGCCTACTGTATGCGTGCCAAAACATGCATGGAAAAATGCATGCGTCCAGAATATTACAATACGCGCCCTTAGAATTTGGCCTACCTTTTGATGTTGGCATGGTTATGTCGTTGCATCAGTCTTTTTGGCTGGCAATTTCTCTAAGCAAACTTGACAGGTGTAACACTTAATCCATTGCCTTGATGGAATGGTAGATTTTCATTTCTAGTAGCCAATGGTACATGTTGTGGTAGACTCTGATCATCAGTGTGTTTGACACCGCTTCCATGAATAACTCCTCTAGATAACAATAAAAAAAAATAGTTTAATTAACTACAAATTTTAAATTGTTAATTTGTATTTTTACGAGTAAAAAAATCATTATATTACTGTAGAATAGGATCCTCCTTCCTAGAGTAAGAAATAACATGATTCTCCCAACAGTTAACTTGAAGTTAGGCCTACTACCACTAAGGTAGGGCCTAGCTACATACAACCAGATTCCAAAAAAAATATTAGTTTTATTTAGTTGACAAGAAAATATATTAATTAAATTAGTACTTTTTTTTGTTGTAGTGGTTTAACTTGTGGAACTGAGAATAATTAACCAAGTTTCTTCCTTTGATTATCTATGCATGTGGTCACTCATGCATGAATTCTGCCTTCTGATTGGTTGGTTGTTTATATGGAAGCCAGGTTGTCCAATGCTTCCTTTTTTGGTGGTTTTTCCTTTGAAATTTGAAATTACTTTCTTTTTGTTTAATTTCTGCTTTTTACATGTTGTAACCTATATCAGAAGAATTTCTTGTATTTTGGACTCAACCACTGATGTTTACCAAGGGTCATGGTGTTACCATGCATAATATTCTTCTATGTGAATAAACCTATAATAATAACAATAATAACATTAATTAATAATAATAATAATAAATAATAACAACAACAATAATAATAATAATGATAGGGTCATTCCGGCTCAAATCAACCACCTTGTCCATAACATTCTAATAAAATGTGCTATCCAAATTTCAATGATATTTCTTGAAAGAGGGGTCAAATTTCAGTCTATGTAGCAAGTTTCAACTATTTACCTTCGTAAAAAATATACAAATTTAAAGAAGCCATTTCCTGCATGAAAAAGGGGACATCCTAAATTTCAAAATTTCAGCAGAATATTTTTAAAATTTTATTTTATTACTATTATCTATTACTATTATTTTTCATCTGTTGGTATAATTTACATAAATTTTCCTATACAATATGAATTTTCTTACCATTTCTTCATCGTCCTCATGTTCCGGTTCAGAACATTCACTAAAAAAAAAAAAAGAAGAATGGTAACATCCAAAAGTATTTTTAGAAGTTTTGCATTCTTTATATGTGTGTTAAAAACCACTGAATTTTTTGTTATTCGTCTGGATGTGGTCTGTTCTATAAATTAAAAGTGATTTTGAACTGGCTAAGCAACTAGTTAACAATGATGATATTGATGAACGTCCTACTGTTGATGATAGCATAATTGATGAGTCGTTGGTCACTAAACTTTTATTAAAGCACAGTTTTGCACGTTCAATTTTAAGTTTATGCACTGTGTCTTGAAAACACGATCTGTGCCAAGATGCCTGATGTGTTTGGAGATTCGAGGCATCAACATCACAAAGTCTTTTGCTTATTGAGAGGTACTCAGGATCACCATATCTGGCGCGCTCTTGAACTTGTATATGAAGTTGGGTTTGCAACTAGGGGCACGTTCGAGCGAAAAAATATCCGTGTGATTTTCCAGTTAATTCACCGGTACACACTTTCTGAAACCACTCGGACACGTGCCTAATTACCATACCATCTAGATTATCCGCGACAATTTTGACCACCAAATTGCTGGGTAGAATTACGTGTATGAGATGGTCTTGGAGCCGGAGACGATGATAAATCAACCTTAATTGCTTTGCCAAATGGTTCGTCCACAGCAAGTACCCACTGTCGTCGCGCTCTTCTTCGCCTCACGTTCACTGCGAAACTAAGTTGGATTGGACAGTAAATCCATCCATATAACATTGCATCATTGTAGCCATAATGGTGGTTAGTAGCATAGCTACACGTTCAATTTGTAAAATTACCATTACAGTACAGTATTCAGAGAATTAAATTTCAATACAAATCGTTCCCGCGTATCGTTTAAGCAAGCAGAAGTAAACAAAGAATGGGTTGATGGGATTGGTGTTTCTGAATGACCTTACAAAATTACTTCCGGAATAGTTTCATTACACGGTATTCGACATGAGCTAAAATTTGCTCGAACGGTGGACCACCCGCTGTGTGCTCGGCGTGATTAACCGGTAAATTCACCGGAATACGGTTTGTGTTTTTCGCTCGAATGGGCCTTAATTTACCACTTGGCACCTTAATACGTATTGTAAAGTTTGTTACACAAGGACGTTTGGAATCAGGTTCATCCATATTGTAGATTTAATTAAGCCCTAAAACAATGTATAATAATACTATTCACATTAAAGTTTAATGATGATATGCCTGTGATAGAGAGTGAGTAAATCTAATGAATGCCATAGTAGATCTTAGATTAGTCTATACCAAAACATAATCTGCTGGAGATAAAAAAAAAATTTTTTTACATAGCCTAGTTATTTGTAAATTATCAAATCGATTAAAATAGCCATTGAAACCCTAAGTCCTTGACTTTTTTCAGATTTTGAGAGACACGTGACCACAGCCACTTTGTCTGAAACATTGGACTCCCCCCTCCCCATTCCCATCCCTGGTTAGAGCTAGGTAGCATTTTGATGCTGAGTTATTATTATATTATCCTAGCAAAACATTAAAGCTAGGCTGACTTGGTCACATGATCATGCCACGCAGTTACAGGCTAAGACTGGCTTGAGGAGCATCGCTAATGCAGAAATAAAACCAAAATATGGGCTAGGTATAACCTCACCTAAATTAGACTAAGAACTAAAATAGTGATGAATAAATTCTAGATTATGTTCTAGAATTGTTCGAGATTATAATTGTACATAATTTGTATGTAAAAATAATTCCAAACACTTACCAAATCCAATGCTTTTGTAACTGTCCAACAGCACAGAGACCACAATGTACTTCAAAAGTTTTTCGTCAATAGAGGGCAGCAGAACATTTTTATCTTTAATGACGAATATCTCTGTTGCTATGCATTTTAGGGTATTGGTGTAATAGGAAATAATGATCCGCATGTAATTTCCTTTCCAATGATACCAAATATGTTTATGTTTGACGAGGTACGTCCGCCATCTTGTTTTCCAAGATGGCGGCCATTTAACCTTCGCGAAAACAATTGGCACCAACATTTTTCTTATTCAGTATAAAATTCGGGAACAAAAATACATAAGCCCCTGCACTAATACCCTCCAGCAAAATGTGGCATTTTTTGAAAATTGTAAAAAACACAAATCTTGATTGGGTGCGTAAAAGGTTTACATACTAACACAATATATGATGTAGATTTAATAAACATTGTCAATGTAACATATTTATAAGTAAATTATTCAATTTACCATGATTCATAAATGGGTTATTCCATTATGACATAGGGGTGTTTAGTAAAACTCGTGAAATGTACTCTTAATGCAGTTTCCAGGTGTTTGTTTACTTCAAATATGATCTGAAAAAAAAAAACCAAGAATGATAACCTGTTTTGATTTGTCATTTGTTCAGTACAGGAAATATTTATCATATGGAAAGGTCGCCTTAATCATTGGAGAAAACTGGATTTTTTTTACAAAAGTATATTTTTGGTACAAAATCAATGATTCTCTTGTAATGGCCCAAGCGGATTATGTTGTACAACATACTAATCTACCAATTTATGAAGGAAAAATAATCCCTACAGTTTTGTCGGAATGCGCCGATTTATAACAGCTTCTCACGTCAATTTAGATAGGGAATTCCAAGAAATTTGAGGTTTTTGGTGGTTCCGAGCTCGTTTCTTACTCCTTCACTCACGGACTATTTCTTTATTCGAATTGGCTCAAGTGGATTCGTGGAGGGAACATAATAAGCTTGAAACTGATATAAAACTTGGATGGATTTTATATTTTCTTATTTTCCGATAAAACTACCCAATCATACTCTCATTTTATCAGAAAATAAGAAAATATAAAATCCATCCAATCTACGATTACCTCTCATGGGGTCAATCAATCTCTCAAACGTGATAGTCCGATTTACTGGTATGACGTCATACTTCTGTTTGCTTGACTTGTGTTCGCAGTGTTTGACTTCTTTCTTCATGTAATTTGGCCTAAGTTAGTTATCAGTTGGATTTTTTGTGTGCTTTTATTACATTTATATAAAAAACAAATGTCCCAAGACAAGATACATGCAGCAATTAGGCTATATTTCTGGACTTATATATCTGAATTCATACTCTGGTCCGTTAAAAAATTTCCGTAGGGGTGTAGCGTAGGGCTAAGCCAATCCTGCCAACACGAAAGTGTGGACTAGGGGAAGAGAGATCTCAACATTTGTTCACTTTACATTGTACTATGTGTACTGTTAAATATGTATTCAAATACAAGTTATAACAAAAGAAAAGATTGTGCAAATTGAATTTTGCTAGTATTTTAACCCCATAATGAAAATGAAAGAAACCCAATGTTTTTATTTGGTCGATCCAAACTACTTGTGCCAGCAGGGTTGATTTGACCTCAGTTCGCTGCTTTCGTGATAGCTGGACTAGCAAATGATAAAAAGTGGCAAAAACGTTTCCATATGAAGTTGGGCAGTTTGCATTATACAAGATGTCAATATCCAAATCCTATATTTTTTATAATAGGTGAAAGATATAGTTCAGTTTTCTTATATAAAGAAACACACAATATATATATTTTTTTGTTTTAATTTAACCAGCTATAATTAGCACTTAAGCTATGTTGTAAAATGAGTTTCTGTAACAAATAGGTGATATTTTTCAATGAAATTGGGCTAAACTATTTGACACATCCCTCTTGAATAAAATGGAACATTCCAATTTCAGATTAAACTCTTTTATTTTAGAATAACTATGAATCAATTTTTAAAATCAACTAGTCGACCTTACAATATTATTATTTTTGGTGTTGTTATACTGCCTTGTTTTTTCAACATCCTAAGAAAGCCTTTTGAATTTATCTAAGATCAATCCATTTTGCAGAATGGAATGGTCCTATGATCATTGAAGTTGATTTATTCAAAATCAAAATCAATAAAAAATATACACTTAAGTTCAAGCACTTGGTCTTTATAATGATTAGGCAAAGGTCTAAACCATGCACAATTTCCTGTTGACAACACCCCTACCTCTGAATGGAATAACCCAGTAATAGGCTGTATGTTTTTTTAAGAAGTTTAATAAAGTGTTGATACATTTTATTAAACTCAGCATAAGTGTTGCCAACACTTTATGGAATGTTTGGGCTTCAATACAATTTTCATTGTAAACGATGATTTTGCATATTTTGTAAAATGGGTATAATGTTTTGTTTTATAAATAAATGGGAACAAAAGTCTCCGTGATTTTGAATTCATGTTTGTAAAAAACTATAATGAGATATTATGTCAGAGTAATATGAGTTTCTAAAAATCTTTGGGTTGGCTGCAATTCTTTTACAAATTTGGGCTAAAATGCAGTATTTTTAATTTACTAAAAATAGAAACACCTGTGTCACTCTCCCTCTAAAGAAATGGAATAATCCAACAAATTTAAAACTATTTTTACATATTTATAATAACCCAGTATGACACATTGTATCCTAGTAAAATCAAGGTAGTCGTATAATGTTCTACTGAGAAATTAGCTACTCAAAATAAGTCAAAATCACAAATTTTCAATTTACAGTTTACGATTTACAGGAAAAGGGGTAAAATCGATCGCAAATTGATGCTAGACATCGTTATCGTTAGCAATCGTTGAAGTTGAAACGGGTTCGACTTTAACGACGAAAAACATAAGAACTGCCCAATCAAATTATCCATTAATGATGTCATTGAAACTTTTCTGTGTGTGATGTGTGGTGTGTGAGTGCTAGTACATGAAGCAGTTTTCGTCTCCTTGCTCTAAACTCAAATGTAAGTACTTTGAAAATTGATAGACAGAGGCTTATTATGGATAGGTAATATATTTTTATGATAATTAACGTAACAGGTAGCCATTCGATTTTACTTATTCCCACACTCCCGTTTAGTCTTGGCTAGGGCCAGCCCAGCAGAAGTACTTACGTTGGTTCGACGTCGAAATCGAAATCGAAATCAACCTTAATCCAACATCTATTCAACGTCGATCTACACATCCAACATTGATTCAACATCGTGATGTCAACATTGATTCAACGTTGTAATGTGGTCGGTGGCAAAAAACCAACGTTGCATGTTGAAATTGGGTCAGCTTATTCAAAAACGAAAATTCAACGTCTTGTCAACGTCGATTCTCAATGTCGATATGTCGTGATGTGACGTTGGTTTCACGTTTTGCAATGATGTTGAATCAACGTTGAAATTAGGTCAGTCGACTCAACGTCGATTCACGGTGTAGATACAACGTTGCAATTTCATGTTGATGCAACGTTGAACAGTTGACGTTGAATCGACGTTGATACTATGTCAATCACTGAACAACCAAAATTCAACGTCGTTTCAACGTCGATTCTCATCGTCGATACAACGTCGTAATGTGACTTTGGTTCCACATTTTACACGGACGTTGAATCGATGTTGAAATTAGGTCAGTCGATTCAACGACCGGAATTCAATGTCAATTCTCGTCGTTGATACGTAGTGATGTGACATTGGTTCCACGTTTTACACTGACGTTGAATCAACGTTAAAATTAAGTCAGCTGATTCAACAACCGGAATTCAACATCGATTCTCGTCATTGATACAACGTCGTGATGTGACGTTGGTTCCACATTTTATACTGACGTTGAATCAACGTTAAATTTAGGTCAGTCGATTAACAACTGGAATTCAACGTCTATTCTGTTTGTCTATACAACATCGCTATGTGGCGTTGTTTCAACATTGAATACTGACGTTGAACAGTTGACGTTGAATCGGCGTTGAAACTATGTCAGTCACTAAACAATCTAAATTCAACTCCTATTCAACGTCGATTCTCGTCGTTGATACAACGTAGTGATGTGACGTTGGTTCCACGTTATACAAATGTTGAATCAATGTTAAAATTAGGTCAGTTGATTCATCAATCGGAATTCAACGTCTATTCAACGTCGATTCTATTCATCAATACAACGTCGCAATGTGGCGTTGTTTCAACGTTGAATACTGACGTTGAATCGATGTTGAAACTATGTCAGTAACTAAAAACTCCTATTCAACGACGATTCTCGTCGTTGATACGTCGTGATGTGATGTTGGTTCACACGATTTATACTGACGTTAAATCAATGTTGAAATTAGGTCAGTCGATACAACAACTGGAATTCAACGTCTATTCGACATCGATTCTGTTCGTCAATATAAAAGTTGCAATGTGGCGTTGTTTCAACATTGAATACTGACGTTGAAACTATGTCAGTCACTAATCAACTTAAATTCAACTCCGATTCAACGTCGTGATGTGATGTTGGTTCCACGTTTTATACTGACGTTGAAATTAGGTCAGTCGATACAACAACTGGAATTAGGTCAATCGATTCAACAACCAGAATTCAACGTCTATTTAATGTTGATTCTCTTCGTTGATACAATGTCGCAATGTGGCGTTGATTCAACGTTGAACACTGCATTGAATCGACGTTGAAACGATGTTAGTCACTAAACAACCTAAATTCAACTATTAAACGTCGACTCATCGATGATACAACGTCGTCATGTGACGTTGGTTCTACGTTTTACACTGAGGTTGATTCGACGTTGAGATTAGGTCACTTGATTGAACAACCTAAATTCAATGTCTATTCAACGTCCAATCTCGTTGAAGATACAACGTCGCAATGTGCGTTGATTTAATGTTGAGCACTGACGATCAAACTATATCAGTCACTAAACAACCTAAATTCAACTCCTATTCTCATCATTGATACTAATGATATGACGTTGGTTCAACGTTGTACACTGAGGTTGAATCGACGTTGAGGCTAGGTTAGTTGATTGAACAACCAAAATTCAACGTCGATTCTTTTCGTTGATACGATGTGAGGTTAGTTCCACGTTTTACACTGAGGTAGAATCAACGTTGAAATTATAGTTCATTTGATTGATCAACCGAAATTCAACTTCTTCCAACGTCGATTCTCGAGGTAGAAACGTCGCAATTTGGCGTTGATTCAACGTTAAACACTGACGTGGAATCGATGTTGAAAATATGCCAGTCAGTGAACAAGCAAAATTCAAGGTCTTTTCCATGTCGATTCTCACCGTCAATACAACGTCGTGATGTGACGTTGGTTCCACTTTTTACACTGACGTTGAATCAATGTTGAAATTATTTCAGTCTATTCAACAACCGGAATTCAACGTCGATTCTCGATATAGATAACGACGTTGCAATGATTCAACGATGAACACTGACGTTGAAATTATGTTTGTCACTGCGCTCCTCCCATTCCCTATTCCGCACCCCTAGATGCATTGTCGACGTGAATTCAACGTAAATCTGTTTACGTCGTAGAGTACAGTATTCACGCGATGAATTTGTGGTAGCGCGCTCGTTATCCGTGATTAAATTTTAGCGCCTAAACTTGTTCAGTGTTTACACCACCGCTGCGCAATGTACTGTGGACGTGAGTTTAGGCGCAGGATTAGAGATGAAAGAATCTAGCTAGGCCTAGGTTAGGCCAATCATTTAACTATTTTAATTACCTATATTCAGATTAGCGGTAAATAAGGTCTTAGCATAAGCTTTAGGGCCTAGATTCTCTCAATCAAGGCAGGAGAAAGTGAATTTCTTGTTTCATTTGCTGTTTTAGTGGGCGGTCTACTAGGCCTAGCCTAGCAGTAGATGTAGTAGCGAGAGAGGATCCTTTGTTTTAACTATATATTTTAGCTTAGCTAGCTTTTTTCTTTTCTGGCAAAGTCACATTTATTCAATAATACATAATACAGAAAATTCATCTTCAAAATAAAAGAAAAACAGCTAGAATAGTTGTTTGTAAACTAGCCTATGCCAGGGCAAAGACGTACAGCACTGCAGTATCCTAGGTAGGAGGCCTGTTATTATTCATTAATTGAAAACTGTTGATCCTTTCGCCGGTAGTGGGCCTGAAACACAATATTTATTTTTCCTAATGTTACTCTGCAAATTAGCAAGCAATATGCCTAAGCCTAACCTAAATCAACCCGACGTTATGGTACGAGTTAAATACATAAATATTATTTAAATATCCGTGAAAATATGTTTACGAGTTGGCCTAGGCATATAGGTCTATAGTATATTACTTTGTTTAGGAATTTCAATTAATTTTTTTCGCACAATATTTGTTTAATTGATATTTTTATTTTCTCACAAAAAAACAAATTGAAAAAAATATACACAGATTAGACTTGACTAAAGATTAAAGTATTAAAAAAATAAATAAATAAAAGATACTGTACATCATATAATTTGAAAATAAATTTCATATAGGCCTATTAACGTCATTATAATCAATAAGATTTTATATCATTTTATTTCATTAAGTGAAAACTGTACACAGCTCACCAAGTCCTTAATTAACTGTACCGGGCGTTGGCGGGCGGGCGTGAAGCACAGAGCGCAACTCGGGCGCTTCTGGGAGTTACCGTACGCTATTTAGTAGGACCATGCCTACCTTCTAGTTCTTCTTGGCTAGCAGGGCCTAGGCCCGGCCCCTAGGCTAGGCAGACCAAACTAATAAATACTGACCTAAAAAACCATTCTCTATCACAGTCTCTAATTAGGTGGTAGTGCTTGTGGTACTGGCTCAGCGTTATCCGGCAAAGAAGGATGTCTCTTTCCCCTTTAATTTGCTGTTTCTTACGCATCAAATCCATCAACATAACGGCTTTCAGCTTTCTGACAAACGACGCCATGATGAATCAGCATAAAAAATTTTCAACTTTAATGATTCAGCGTTTTACATGGTCAGCTTTGGCGGACCGACACGATTTTTAATAAAATCGTTATTCATTCAACGTCAAAGGCCATCGTTAAAAAATTGACGATAGACATTGTAAATGTTGATTAACGTCGACAGGAAAAGCGGCTTTACACACATCGCTACTAGTCGAGATTACACATATCGCTACCAGTCGATTTTGTACACACATCGCTACTAGGCGGCCCTGAGACGCCCTAATTAGAAATTGATGTTTTGAGAAAATTGACTTCAGAGTTGGGTCTTGTTTCTTTTTGAATACACTTTACCTAGAGTTATTTTTTGTTAGCAATATTAAGAATATCTTTTTGAATATTATTGGCAAATTTCATCTAAAATGAATGCAGAGTTTACATGATCAAAGTTGAGTCTTCGCCACAAAATCTCTCAAAATATACATGACCTAACTTCTATTCATAATACAACCCAATAACATAATAAAATTATTATTATTATTATTATTATTATTATTATTATTATTATTATTATTATCATTATTATTATTTTATTATATTTTATTATATAAAACAAATAAATAAAAGCATCACTAAATGCATTTTTGAACAAATCTGGCTAGGTCTGTATTAATAATCCAGTGAAAAACTTATTATATAATGTATTTAATTATTATATTTTTATAATTATTATTATTTGTATATTATAATAACCAAATCATTGCAATATGTATAAGCTTATATAATAATTGAAAAGAACAATCCTACTGTACATAAGTATCAGTAACAATTCTACCTATATTTAATTACCCTCAGCCAATAAGTCTTCAACATGTGGCTGGACATCATCTTCAGCTACATGGTCATCATAATCGCTAAAATCATCATCTGGAAAAAAATTAATGATTCTTTTTTTAAAGCTTTAAAAAATACCATTACCAGTAGTAATTACAGTACTACTAATCCTGGTAAAGAAGCCTAGATAGCCAAGAGTTAAATTACAATTGTCAGGTCGGCCCATGCCACGTGACATGTTGTTT